AGCAAACGGACCAACTCCATGCGGGCTACTGGCGCAAAGACCCCCTCGAAGTCTATGCCCTCGCGCTGAACAAAGCCTCGGATGACGAGACACACCTTGTGCTTGACAATGGCACCGAGCTCGTCCCGCTTAACCTTGTACACCCACTTCAGGCTGATCGGACGACATCCTGGAGGTGGATCGATGAGTTGCCATGTCTTGTTTTCCTCGATCGCCTTCATCTCCTCCAGCATCGCCCATCACCAGTTTCGGTCCTGCTTGGCCAGCGTGAACGTGGGTGGTTCCTCTGCACTGACAAGCAGCAGCTCTGTGTCATTGAGCAGCCGACCAGCCAGTCCTGAGGGTCCTGTGCTGCCGACGATGTCATCCAGCCTGCGGAACCGCACCTCCTCACCTTCGTGGTAGGTGTCCACGAACTCAGTGATGTCACTTGGAGGTGAGGCGAACTCGATCAGCGTTGATGGAGTTCCCTGTTCCACCAGAGCGCTCGGCACAGTACCTAAAGTGCTCGTCACCCCAGGTGCAGTGCTCGGCACTACTTCTGGACTTCTCGTCATAACTCCTGCAGTGTTCAGCCACACTGTAGGAGTGCCCAGCCTAAGTCTTGGAGCGGTCGGCACCACTGCAAGATCTCTTGGCTCCACCACGGGAGTGCTCGGCACCCGTTCTGTAGTGGTTGCCGCCACTGCAGAACCTCCCGGCACCACTTCTGGCGTGCTCAACATCCCTTTAGGAGTGCTCGGCACTCTTCCCTGAGTGCTCGGCATCCCTCCCGAAGTGCTCGGCACTACCACAGGAGTGCTTGGCTCTACCGCTGGAGTGCTCGGCACTCCTCCCGAAGTGCTCGGCACATCTTCCCCGGCGTCTCCACCACCGTGGATGACCAGGTGCTCGACGACGAAGGTGTTGGTGAAGCCGCCAGCTTCCCCCGTGCTCTGACTGCTCCAGTCCCAAGCCGCCTTCTCGTCGAACACGACGTCGCGCGAGACAAGCACCTTGTCTCCGCGTGGGTCGTAGAGCTGGTACGCCTTGGTACCCTCCGCGTAGCCCAGGAACACCATCGGTGTGCTCCTGTCCTCCAGCTTGGTGAGGTTCGGGTTCGTCTTCCTGACGTGGCCGATGTAGCCGAATGTCCGAAGAAAGGACACGCTCGGCCTGCGTCCATACCAAGCTTCGAACGGCGTCTTGCCCGTTAGGGCCTTGGTCGAGATCATCGGCTTAGGTGAGTGAACCACTAACCTGTCTTGCCGAACACCCGCTAGTGTTACCGAGCACCCACTAGCTAAGCCGACCACGAACAAGCGTTGTCCGTCCCCACACACTATGTCTAGAGGTTAAAGAAGAGGGAGAACATAGTATACACACAGTACAAGGCACCAGCGTTGGCCGAAACCCTATATGAGAGATGGCAAATCTAAACTCTCTTTACTGAGTTGTCATGGTAGTCTATTTATACAACTCTATCCATCTAGTCATAGTACAACGCACATGCTGTTACAGTAACTAGATAACATGTAGGGCTGACTCTGCGCTGGTCTCTGCATGTGGCTATAGTGCTGTAGGTGAGTCGTGCGGCGCCTGCACCTGCAGTGGATATAGTATCACAGCAGGGGGGATTTTCGACGTCGTCTTTCTTATTGTGTTCACGTAAGGAAAGCAATAAAGTGCAAACACTCAAAAGCTGTAATGATGTTGTCTGTGATTAGCCGTCTCGGAACAAAAGCTGACTGCTCTTCCGATATAATATCAGGAAGACATACTTTCAATCTGTTTGCCGCCGCTTTAGAAGCGATCTTATAGATGACAAAGTGTCTATATATATGCATTAGTGAGTTTTTGCCGTTTAATAAATTATAGCCCACCCTTGACAACACCGTGGGCCCAATAGGTAGCATCGTAGTACGGTAGCAGGCCCAAGATGGAAAGCCAAAGCAACAGGCTAATATTGATATACCGTCTGTTCCGGTGCTCGTTTTTCTTTTTGCTTTTTGTGTGTGATGTGATTTGGATTATTTTACTTATTATTGATTGATTCTAAGCTAATGGACCTGGAGAAGGACTCTATCTCTTGTTGGGCATCAACGCCAACTATTCTGGTAGGACCGGTCTCTTTCCCCGGCACAAACTTGGGATTGTGGACATATTATGTTATGGGAAGTAAACAGCCCGGTTGAAAGATACGTTTTGCTATATAGAAAGTAAAATAAGATTGTGTCTAGTTTATTTTCTATTTGAATTATGATTCATATTCCTATTCAATTTATGCAGGCTCGGAGAGATCTATTTATTCTAACTATCTAGGGTCATATAAGTCTAGACGAAAGAAACTCGACTACCGGTAGTTAGGGGGAGGTGGACGAGAAAATGGATAGAAAAAAAGCCAGAAATTTGCCTCTTTATTATTAATAGGTATTCCCTCCGTCTAAGAAAACATGCAATTCTAGCATAGTGTCCTGTTTTAGTACGCCAAATTTGATTAATTATAGATAAAAAAACTATAAATACTTATGATATCAAATAAATATCATTAGATTGACTACAAAATGTATTTTTATAATAAATTAATTTATAGCCATAATTACAATACTATTCATTAAAAAATTTGGTCAAATGCGGACTACTTTATCTGGCACGCAACCCATAGTTACATATTTTCTTGGACAGAGGGAGTATGGATATAGATATAAATATATATATAGATAGGTTCACCCAAATATTCTTCTATAATCATAAAACATAATACTATCAACACTTTTAGAAAAGATAAGATACAAGATTAAAAATATCATCATAATATATTAAAATTATTAGCAATGCATCTGACGCGGGGTCAAAACTGCGGCAAGCATTGTTGTTCGGATGGTGTCGTCACACGACGGATATGGTGGCTCGGGTGAACCCAAGAACGCAAGAAACACACAGGAGACACAGAGATTTATCCTGGTTCAGGCCAAGTCGGTCCCTACATCCAGCAGCTGAATGATCCTTGTACTCGAGAACACCAAGAAATCTGAGGGTTACACTCGGTGTGTAGAAGGTGGTAGAGTTTGGCTGGGGGCTAGCTCGATGCAAGTCCTATGGTGGTGGTGGTATTTCCGTGTCGCCGGAGTTGTCCCTTCCCTCGCCGGAGAAGGAGACGGTGGAGGAACTACCGGAGCTCCCTCGAGGATTGCTCTGCCCTACAGTGAACAAAGCAGAGAAGGCGGTTAGAGAGGCTCTCTATGTTCTACGGTTGTAGAGTTGTGGAATTGGGATCCCCTCTACGGTCTACGTGCACCGGAGTCCATGGTGGCCTTGCAGCGGAGCGACGTGGACCGAGGCGATGTCTTGGCGCCGAAGAAGCTTGGGGCATCTTCTGCAGTTCTGCCCTGACACACTGAGTGTCAGGTCTTGTCGGCTTGGACTAGCCTCCCCCGGGTGAGACCTTCTGGAGTCTTCACGGTGGAGGCGGAGGTCGGCTCCAGAGGCTGGCGCGTGGGCCCGGAGGTCCACCAACCCCCGGAGGCCATGGGAAGGCTTTGTCTTCTTGTGTCACGCCTCGGACGTGACCCTGTCGGAGGTGTAGCTGGCAGGGGCACGCCTCGGGAGCATCGTCGGGGAGCCCCCGGGCATCAGTAGCCTAGGTGCTCGTCTTCTTGCTCCCGGGCCTTGGCTGGCATCGGTAGCCGGGCAGGAGCCAAGGGTCAGACGCGTCGTCGATGTGCCTAGGGCTCGGGGTAGCCCCCAAGCCTTAGGCCAAAGGCGTTGCGGGGTTAGGCTCGTCCAGACCCCCTGCCGAGAGGGTGCGCGAGCCGTGCCCGGTGGGCACAGCCCTCAAGGCCCCGAGCTATCTCGGGGGGATAGGCCAGGGAGTCTCCAGATGATAGGGAACCACCTGAAACTGAGATTAGACATACCTAGATGTTTATAATCTCGATAGGAGCCCCTGAGCCCTTCGTGGCCTCACTTATCATGATGGCGACGAAGGGCTGAATTTGATCTTATGGTGACCGAACTCTCCTTGGCGGGGATATTTCTGCTGCTAGAGAGAGGTGTCGCCTTGCTTGAGGACTTCACTTGCAAAAACATGAGGATGCTTGGCTCGGCCGCGAAGGGTGAGCGTTAGGGTGTTGGCTCCGACGCTAGTCCTGGCTGCTCGGGTCTTCGACTCGAGTGAGGGCTCAGCTGGCTCGTCTAGGAGCTGCTGACTTAGAGGCCTGGGGGCGCCCCTCCTTTCGATCGAGCTTTGCCGTGGGTCGGGCGATCGTGAGCTCATGGCTCTGGCTCGGGGCCAATCGATCACCCGGAGCACCACGCCCTTCTGGGGACTACGATAACAGGGCTCGATCCTCTTGAGACAGCCTTCTGGGATGACCTTCTGCTATCGTGGATCCAGGAGCACGGAGTGCACCTAGCCTTATGCTGAGGGCCCTCGCTGGGCCCGCTGCTCGGTGACTCTAGACCCAACTCTGGGGAGTTGTTGCTTTTTTAGGGGATGCGCCACCCGTGCCTTCATCGATCAAAGGGTCAGGCTGCTCCATCTGGGGAGCGGGCATAGCCCTCGAGGCTGTTGTGGGGCCTCCTTACCAGCTGGAGGGACGGTGTCTGAGCACATCCCATCTGTTGATGGCTTGCATAGGTGGTTGATGGCGTCTGGGCCGTCGTGCCTGGTGGAGGAGTTAAGGCACGTAGCCCCGGGTCGCTCCGCCCCGTCTGGGGGACAAAACGATAGGGGCCACATGGAGCAGATCCATCAGTGAAGATGCCTTGGCACTTGGGGCAGTTGGATCTGAGCCATCGATGATTGTAGGTGGGCCCTAGGGGAGATGGATCCCCCAAGACCAGGAGGAGGTGTGCGCAGAGTGGGCAACACACGTGCATCGGCAGGAGAGGGTCATAATAGAGTCTGGTCGAGAAAGGAGCACGGGTGTGCCCACCTATCTCATTTCTCTCCTGCTGCTCCCTTGTTCACTCCCCTGCCAAGTCAGCCGCTGTCGCTGCCACTTCCCAACCCGACCGGAATGGCGGAGTGGGACACGTCGAAGGCTGATGGTGAGATACTAGAGGTGGCCCAGGCTTGGTTGATCCTTCCACCCACAGGGTGGGATCTCCCTGACCCGGAGGTGACCGAGCCTGCACCGGGGGACTCGTAGGTCATCTCCTTCATCCACCTCCACATCGCCAGGTTCAAAATCCTAGTGCACCTATTCGTGGGGAGATTTCTCCGTCACTTCGGGTTGTGGCGTCGTGATCTGATGCTGCATGGGGTGACACACCATGCAGTGTTCGTCACCCTGTGTGAGTGCTATTTGGGGATTGAGCCCCACTTCGACCTATGGAGGCGGATCTTCCGCCTGAACCTAAACAAGGACAGCGACGGATGCATGTAGTGGATAGGCGCCGCCGCCATACAGCTGCGCAACAATTTGAAAACAAGGTACCTGGATCTTACCTTCCCTACCTCAGAGAAGGGGTGGCACCGGAAGTGGTTCTACCTCTCTGATCCCGCTGGGTCCCTTCTGGCCTTTTCGTTGGACCGCTTGGGGCCTGTGATGCCACCGTCGTGGAAGAGCTTGCTAGAGGGACCGGCGCTTGAGGTGGCAAAGGGGCTCCTGGACTGGATCACCATGCTAAAGGACGTCGGCCTGACTGGCTGGGTGGTGCTCCAGGAGTTCTTGTTCTGTTGGGTGCTCCCCTTGGCCGCAAGGCTAGCCCCGATGTGGGAGTACATCGGGCTTGGGGACACTTCCTCCGTGGCGAAGGGCCAATTTACGGCGGAGTCAGTGAACGGGCTAGCATGGATGGTGCTGGGCTCCGCCTCAGGGGAACCGGGGGCCGGGGTTGGCCTGGCACCCTTCTCCGTATTCGAGCCGAGGCCCAACAATTTCCCCTACAAAGGGGTGGTCTCGCTCCCCCCCAGCCCTATGGGTGAGGGGGCAAAAATGTTGGTGACGGGTCTTCCTCGCCGCCTGAAGAAATGTCACTCGCCCTCACCCTGGGGGAATCTCCCTCCGCCCGTGCAGCCAGGAAACGCCCTTGTTTGGGCTCCCCTAGGGAGAGCGCGCCGTCGTGGAAGAGGCGTTTTGCCTTGAGGCTCAGCAGGTGAGCCCCTCCCGTGAACTTGGTACCTTCTCTGGTTGGCGGTCAGTCTCCTGACCGCTGAAGCGGCTGTTGATTTTGTAGGGAGCCCCCCATGGTGGGGATCTTTGGCGACACAGTGGCGCCGACGTGCCCGATGAAGTTCCGGGTGTGCCGTCGCCCGTTGCTGCAACCCCGGTAGAATAGGGCGCCATCGCTGAAGGTCACCACGGAGGGGCCACCGGTGGATCTTGAGTGCCAGGTTGGTCCCAGGTGCGTGGTGGGTGGCCCCCTCCTAGAGGGCCTCCCCCTCAAGGGGGGAGAGACCCAGGTTGGGGGCCACCGCAACCGGTATTCCCCCACCTGTGGGGCGCAGGGAGGCTGCCTCTTCGTCGGCGGTGAGGTCTACCCCCGCTGCATCTTCAGGAGGACTCCATGTGTTAGACGACGGCCCGAAGGCCGACGCTTGGCCAGAGCTGATCCAGTGGTGTGAGGCCTTTAATGAGCTGGTCACCTTCTTCTACAACTCCTTCACGGCCATGATTGGGCGCACCGGTGAGTTCTTCCACCACCAGCATGGGCTATACAACACCTGTGAGGCAAGAACTATTTCAAATAGATTCTGTATCACAATATGTGTTGCGGACTTGCCTGAGCTTTTTTGGGCGCCGTTGTTGCAGAAACTCTTGCAGCATTCCCGGAGGAAGTCAGAGCTAGTCTAGGAGTGGGAGAGGTCTACGCCGCTGGTGCTCCCTATTTCCTATGTAGGAGAGGAGAAGCCTCTGCCTACCATGTTGCCTCTTCCTAGCCCTTCACCGCTTGAGCAGGTGGAGGCACTGACGGAAGCGCTTGTCCACGAGCGCGACAGCGCACGGGGAACCCTGGCGCAGGTCGAGTTTGAATTGGATGCAGAGCAGAAGGCCAAGTACGCCATGGAGGCAAGGGCTGAGGTGTCTCAGCAGAAGGCTCTCGAGGCGTAGGAGGCCCGGCGAACGGTCGAAGGTGTCGTCATAGAGCTGAGGGGATGTCTGGGCCTGCTGGAGACCGTTGGGGACACTGCTCGTTCCAAGTTCTATGAGACCCGACGAGTCACAGCAGGTACATCCTTGCCTTCCCTTCTCTCCCTTGCCTTCGGGGCGGGGTCATTCTGCTCTTGGCTCCATTAACTCAATTCTCACCTTTGTCTGATGCAGGGCTGCGGGCGGAGCTGGCAGTTGAACGCGGCAAGGCCCTCTAGTTTGAGGAGGATGCAGGGAAGCTGCGCATAGAGCGGGATCGCCTATGGGGCGAGCTACGGGCGGAGTCAAAGGTGTCGGTGGAGAACCAGGCCACCCTGGAGGAATGCAGGCGGCAACTTGACGCGATGCGGGCGAAGCTACAGAAGTTCATCGCCGGCATAGAAGAGGTGTGTGCCGCCTTTCTACCGCCCCTTTGGAGGGAGGGCCTGATCTTGCTAGTCGATTGCACGCCCTCATGCCACACGTTCCTCGGGCCGTCGTGAGCGTGATTCACCAGGGGGCCAGCACAGCCCTGACGCTGACAAGGCTTTGGCACCCCGACATCGACTTGAGCCTCATCATGAGAGGCACGCCTGAGAAGACCTTAGAGAAGAAACTAGAGGAGACCGAGGAGGCAGTTGCCCCCTTCGTGGACACCACGGCCAGGGTAGTCGACAACAGGCTGCTGCTGACGGACAAATATCCCGATGAAGACGGTGCTCCTGCTGGCCCTCCGGTGCCCCCTGGACCTGCGTGATGAGATTTGATTGTAATAACTTGTTGTTGGACTTGTGCAGGGGGATTGTTTCCCCCTTTCCTAGACACTTGTGATGTCCGTGGTGCGCGCGCGTATCCACTAAATCTTTGTGCTTCCGTTTTTTGTTTTCTCCCTGTGCTGGGTTCATCTCGGTGGGGTGCATCAAAAAGGTCTAGGCCCTTGTTTGGGTTTTGGTAATTAATGACAACACTTGTGGACTAACTTCTCAATTTGAGTGTGTGAAGGAAAGTTGGTTTAGTTCACAAGAATGTTGATATGGATTTGATGTTTAGCATGTTGGAATGCTCAAATCAAGCATAGCAAGCAAGTGAAGACCAAAGCAAGACTTGGCTATGATGGACCGTGTGCAACGCGATGGTGAAGGGCAAGCTAGGGGCTTGGCGCCGATGGACCAAGGCGATGGTGAAGGGCAAGCTAGAGGGCTTGGCGCCGAAGGACCAAAGCAACGGTGAAGAGCAAGTGAGTCTAAGGTCGATGTACTTGAAGTCTATGTGGTGGTTTGGGTGATCCACATCATCTATATTGATCAAGCGAAAGTTTCATGGTTATATCAAGTGGCTTGGTGAAGTTGTTGGACAACTCTTTCCTTGCAAAGATTAATTTGTGTGAAATTGGATAAGTGGAAGGCAAAGGTATGAAACATAGGTTGTTTCATTTTACCGGCTATGAGGTGTTGTAGGGTCGAGTTGGCGGACTAGAGGGGGGTGAATAGTCCTTTCTAAAACTTAATTGCACTGGCTAACTGAAACAAATGCGGAATTAAGACTATTGGTCTAGCCAAGACTATACCTCTCTATCTATAAACTCTAGCACCTTATAAAAGATCATAAACAAGCAAAAAGGTGCCTTCCTAGCAAGAGCTCACCTACTCAATTCTAGGAGCAAGGTCACACAAACCTATGCCACTAGTACTTTGCACACCGGGGAGCACCTACACAACTAGTAAGCAAAAGCACAAATCTCCTAAGCTCACTAGCAATGCTCAATAACAAGGCTACACAAGCCAAATTAGAGAGTGCAAATTACTTAGCTACACAAACTAAGTAATGTGACTAACAAGGTTACACAAACCAAATTAGCCACGCAAGGGGAGCTACTTCTATGCTACACAAGCAAGAAGGTAACTAGCTAGCTACACAAGCACAACTAGTTACAAGAGCAACTACACAAGCACTATGAATATGAATGTAAATACAAGCTTGTGTATCGAAATGCAAACCACTGAGAAGATGTAGACAATGTTGACACGGTGATTTTTTACCAAGGTTCACTTGGTTGCCACCAAGCTAGTCCTCGTTGTGTCGACCAACACCTTGGTGGTTCCTCGGTTTATGGCTCCCAAAGCCAAGCTTCCCCAAGGCACCGCAAGAACCCACACACAAGTGTGGTAACTCAATGACACATTCTACTAGAGTTGCTCTTCGTTATCCCTGCGGGGTGAGCACAATCCCCCTCACAAATCTTCTTCGGAGCCACGCACAATCTTCTTGCGTGCTTCGACGGAGCCATGAGCCACCAAGCCGTCTAGGAGGTGGCAACCTCCAAGAGTAACAAGCACCACCGGCTTGCAACTTAAACACCTAGTGCCACTTGATGCAGCCTCATGATGCAATCGCACTAGAATCGCTCACTCACTAGATCCGATGAATGCTATCAAGCATGAGTGAGTTAGAGGGCTCCCAAGCACCACCACATAAGCCACCAAGGCTATAGTGTGCTCAGCAACCAGCCCAAGGTTGGCCAAGGTGCTATTTATAAGCCCCTCCATGAAAAGAGCCATTGTACCCCTTCACTGGCACAACTCGCACTCACCGAACGCGCCGGTGCGTTTGACCGGACGCACCCAGCCAGCGTCCGGTGCCTCGGCCATTGCCACGTGTACTAGTTGTTTGAAACTAGCCGTTGCCACCAATGGCTACTCCACACGCACACAGTACACAACCACTGACCGGACGCAGCAGTGTCACATCGGACGCAGCAACGCCAGAGTCCGGTGTGTAACAGAGAGCTCCTAGAGCGCTCCAAACGTGACCGGACACGTCACGTGAACCACAACTGGACGTAGGCCATCATTCGCTACTCCCTAACCTCGTGATGCCCTACCATACAAGCGTGACCAGACGATCAACAGTGATCGCCTGGCATCCAGTGCTCTGCGTCCGCTCCTCAACAGAAAAAGACCGGACATGCCGATGCTCCTAGAGCCAGCGTCTGACGCCGAACCCTAGTGTCGCCTTCACTAGAGCCACTGACCGGACACGCCTGGCAGAGTCCGGTCCTACCCCGGCTAGCGTTCGGTCACTCACAGTGACCTCCTATCACCTCCTTTTCTTCACCAACTTCTTCTCCTTTGCAAATGTGCCAACACCACCAAGTGTACACCATCATGTGCAAGTGTGTTAGCATTTTCACAACCATTTTTCAAAGGATTAGCCACTCAACTTGCCATGCCACTTGATCCTAGCACGTATGCAAGGTTAGATCGCTCAAGTGACACTAGATGACCGATATGCAAACAAGTTTGCCCCTCATGATAGTATGACCATCTATCCTAAACCCGATCATCAACTTCTCTACACACCTATGAACGGTGAAATGGAAATGCCCTAGGTTATACCTTTGCCTTGCGCATTCCACTCCATCTCCTTCGATGTTGATGCAACACATGCACCAACCAATCACCAAATGATATGATCCACTTCATATCATCACATGACCGTATTGGTTCATCGATCTTGACCTCACTTGCTCTTCACCGTTGCCTTGGTCCATTGGCGCCAAGTCCTCGACTTGCCCTTCACTCTTGCAACTGGTCCATCGAGCCAAGCCTCATCTTGATTTTCTCCACCTTGGTCACATGACTCCATGTCATGTCTCATATGCAATGAGCTCCTTCATCATCACATGTGTGAGCTTTGCACCAAGTTCAAGCCATCTTCACCGTCATGGCATATGTTGCTCACACACATATACTTGTGGACTAATCACCTGTGTATCTTACATCAAACACAATTAGTCCACCTAGGTTGCCACTCAATTACCAAAACCAAACAAAAACCTTTCAATCTCCTTCTTTTTGGTAATTGATGACAACTCTACAAAGATATGGAAATTAAGCTCTTTTGGATTCATGTTGCTTGCCCAAACAATTTTACCATGTGTAAGGATATGGACAAGTTTCATGAACTCAAATTGGTAGTATTAGCTCCCCCTACATATGTGCTAAGAGTTTGTATTTGAGGCTTGCACATATGCATAGATTAGAATTGTGTGAGAGTAATCACTACCAATGATGCTAAGGTGTATAGAATAAACCTTTGAAGTGTGATACCAATCGGAGTTTGCACTTTTAAGTTCATCCTTAGCACCATGGATAGCTAGATGTCACTTGGAAACAAAAACACTAGATACCCCATGAGATCAACATTAGAATCAAGGTACTAGCAATACTTGAAAGCAAACCAAGTGACTAGCTATCATCCTATGCATTCTAGTTTTTCATTTCATCATTCAAGTTCTACAACTAGCATACACCACACAAGCATGCATATCAAAATTTTAAAAACTTATGCAATGCAAGCAAGCACATGAATATGCACACATCAAATGCAACCAATCAAGGTTCATGAGCTTGCTCCCCCTACTTGTGTGCTTCTTTTGTCCAAGAATTTTGATCCTTCGCTTTTCCTTAATGTTGCTCCCTCTTTGTCCATGTCCATGTCCAAATCAACTACCTCTCCATGTTTCGACTACCTCTCCATGTTTTTGTCCAATCTCTCCCCCAAAGCTCAAAAGCTTTCATATATCTTTGTACAATCTCTCTCCCTTTGTCATCAATTTCCATAAAAGTTGTGCTTCTCATTGATGCAAAGGCTTGCATTGGGGTAGATGGTTGAGGCTTGAATCTTGCATTTTTTATGGACATTACCACAAATGTTGGAATGACATTACTTGTATTGCTCTTGAGATACCACATAGGATCTTTGACCTTGATACCAATCGGTGGGGCTCCTCCTCCTATGTCATAGCATGGGTCATTCACTTGATAATCTTGAGCTCTTGTGTGTGTGAGGGAACATGCTTCACTTGATGATCACTTAAAGTTGAGGATCACTTGTGGAACCATCGTCTTGTATGGTTGATATCATGTGATACCACTTGGAGGAATTTTCAAGCATGGAACCACTTGTAGGATTTGTCAATGAGAATTACTTCTTGAACATTTGCTATCTTCATGAGTACCACTTGTAGGATATCACTTGTAGATTATGATCTAGACACCACTTGTAAATACCACTTGAAGGAACAATTTGAGTCTAGATACCACTTGAAACAATCAAGATATCCATTTGCATTGTTATCTTGTGCTTGTACTCATATCATTGTCATGAGCTTCTACTAGTTCACTTGTTCTAAATTGATTTGCCTAAGTTTACAAGTCCGGTTTGATCCAATGACAAGCTTCTTCACACCTCATACTAAGGGTTATCTTGCTAATGTTGTACTTGTCACTTATTAGCAATCCAAAATAGATCAAGTACTTGGGTTCACTAGCTCATGAACAAACTCATATACATACCACTAGATCATTTATACATTCAAGCAATAGTGGTAGGCTATGAATTTAAACCTTTTCATTTGTTATACAAGATCCTAATAAGCATGTACTATATGCACTAACCACATACTAGTAAGGGACGAAATGATCATGCACATTACAATGATACCTTTGCTATCTTAGAGTAGAGGATAGTCACATAGATTCCAATTCATTACTCCAATAGCAATGTGAAGTCTAATTTATAGCTTGGTGAAGACTTATCTTCAATAATGAAATCCATTCTTCACCCATATAAAATAAAAATCACTTATGATCAAGTGCACTATCTCTTGTTGTGGTTGGCTTGCTTTATCTTTTGACCAATGCTTGTATGAGAGAACTATTTAGAATACCACTTGAATTGTCATGAGTAGTTCTC